AAAATCCAATACAGCGCTCTTCCTCCTTTTAATTATGGTCCTATTATCTTCCTTACACAGAGAACCAGGAGGTTGAAAAATCCACCTTGATTCAACGAGATGACTGTTATTTGTTTCCTTTTATGTAATTAATTAATTATTGGATCCTTTACTGCTTAAAAAGCCATCGTGCTTGGTTTTTCCTGCATCTCAAAGCCTGAGCTGAGGACAGAGAGCCTTAGGAAGAGCCAGGGGTTTGGCTACTTAAGAAAACTGCTGGAAGCACCTCCAGGGACGTTGTTCACAGGTATCACTGGAGGAAGCTTCACCAGGGCTCAGAGTAGTAATTCTTTTCTGCTCGCTGTACTGAATTAGCTTTTTTTCTGAAAACCAAACCCAAGATCCTTTCCTTTCCCTTTCCTCTTACTGTAGATGGAAATTGTAGTCCCTCCCTCTTTTTTCCTCCCCCTGATGTTCATGTTCTAGGGAGATATTTTGTGGACGTTGCTGACTGCCTCAGTTGCTCAAGGAGAAATTTCCTTTTCTTCTCAAAACAATAACTCCTGATTGACGCAGCTTTTCCCAGTTGTCCCAATTCGCTGAAAAATTTATTGACTTTTTTGGGGGAAACCACGTTTGCTAAATATTTTCTAACTATTCTTCTGTGTTGAATTGTCTAAGTTCTTAAGCAGACAGCTCCCATTCCTGGTCAAGTCCTGGGATTTTCATACACTTGTTAGAATAATGAGAGAATGCAGTATTATCCCTGTTTTTTAGAAGTTCTGCTTTATGGAAATCTACCATCTTGGGGCAAATGTCATCTTTTTTTGTGCCGTAGCAGGTTACTGTGTTGGAGCTTCTACAATAGCAGAGGTTGTGAACCAGAGGGAGAGACGTGGAGGGACAGAAACAGGTTCTTTAAGCTCCTCCGGTTCAGGACATCAGTTTCCCAAAAAGTCTTCAGGCTATTTTTTTTTTCCTGGGAGCAGGAAAGCTCAAATCTTGTTGTCACTAACTACATCGACCAAACGTAGCTGCTAAATTAAAATGGATTATTTAAATACTGTTTATTTCAATATGCAATTAAAGTTTAATAGAAAATTAATTTCTTTGTACATTCCCTGGCTGTATTGAAAAGCTAAAATACAGCCTTTCCTCCTGACTCCAGCTCTGTTAAAAGAGTATTTTCTAGGGGGTTGTGTAGCATTTGCATCCCAGTTATTTAAAAATTATTGCCCCACGTACAAAGATTTCATTCCCAGTTCAAGTGGCTTCCATAGATAACTGAATTTTAACAGTTAATAGCTGAATTTTGTATTACATCAGGAAAGAAGGTAGCGGCAAAACAAACGTGAGTACTTTGTGCTTTTGGACGACGCTGAAGTTCCAGAACGACTCCATGGTCAGCATTTATCAGGCTTCTCTCTTCATTTTGCAATATATTGACTTGTCCTTCGGTTCTGGTGTGGGGCTGCGGGTGCGTTGCTGGGAGCCAGGAGCTGCCTGCAGTTTCAGTCACCCTTCTCCTGGCTCACAGGTTACTTGCTATAGGAATTTTCATCAAGTTTTTAATCTCTCAACATACATACTCCAGGAAAGAAAAAAATTAAAATAAATCTGGCCTAGTTAGTCATGTTTCCTGGCACTGGCAGATATTAACTGTTAAAATTCAGCAGATGCAAAAGTGCTAAAATTGGTTGGGATAGAAGAAAAGATAAGATAATAATGATTTTTTTTATGGTGGGAAATTAAGACTTAGCATTGTTAATAAAAATTTAGAATCCTTTTCTGCTTCCTTCTTATTTCTGCTTTCTCTCAGTTCTGCAGTCTTTCTTCATGTTGCACCTTATGCCTGTTTGTTCCCAGTTTTATAGTTTCTCATTATAGATACCTGTGTTTGAGATGTTCCAGTTCTCTGTCTTTAAACAATTATTAAAGGAAATAATTAAATAATAGGAATTAGGAATAAAGACATAAAAGTAGGAATTAGGAGTAAAAATAACATTATACAATTTTGATTATATTAAGTTCAACATATTTGCTAAATTTATCACCAACCCCCTTCCAAATACGTTCTGTGCCCAATTGTTATTACAGGAGATTAACTGAAAACAGAACTTTAATCTTGTTCTGGTTTGAGTTTGCAAAATTGTTAGCAAAGAACAAGGTTTTTCTCCTAGGATGAAGAAACGAGTTGGGTTAGACAGTAGATATGCAGTCTTTGGTGGTAATTCATATTTTTCAGGGTAGAATTGCATTTTACAAGGGTTTCATAAATGAAACTCACAGGAACCTCCAGTATTTACCAGGATAATTCAACTAACACACTTTTACAGGGGGATATTTGAAGTATCCAGAGTTCAAATGGCAACCTCTGCAGAGATTAACAGTTCTATCCGTTAGAGAGGGCAAGGAGCATCTACTAATTACAGGCAGTTCATTCTGCATTTAAGGTATCAAATTGTTGCTATGTTAGAGAAAAAGCCAGCTCTAAATAATTACACTTTTCTATTTGCTTTAATACCAATAAGGATGTACAAATATACATTGTTATTGATACTGAAAGTGAGGTTCAGCGAAGATTCCCCTACGGTTCTGTGCAGGGGGGAGCTTTGCAAAAACAACGAAAAACTGTACAATGTCACAGGTACTTTTTGCTGTTTCTTTAGATTTTTTTATTTATTTGAGTTTTCAGCAACTTTAACCTGACCTTGATTCCATTCCAGCCTAAGGAATGGCTGAAAAGCACGCTTTAAAGCAGAAAATTAAAAAGAAAAAAGAAGAATTTACTGTAGAGGGCAATTTTATAGTTAAGTTAGTTTTGAAATAACATATAACACCTTGTTGTTGGAGCGCAGTAAGTACCTGGTGGCCAGCAACCATATATATTTAGGGATCATTTATTTTATTCCCGTTCATTTGGGTTGCAAACCAAGAAGGAAGAAGACACCTTGCTTATTTGAATTACATTTGATTACCCCACCTTCCATAAATTGAACTGATTTCTTGAGTCCCCGGTGTTTGGTGAGATGTAAATTGTTTGGTGATCTTATGAGCATGTTCAATTAATACTTCTCGTAGCAGGATTGCGTGTCATAGCGTCTGGCAGGGCTTGGTTGAGCTCACGTCTGGAGAATCTGCTCTGAAGAGATTGTGTTCTGGATAAATAACTCAGGCATTTAAGCAGGAACCAGCGTGACTGATGTGGGATGTTGCATTCTCCAGGACTTGCAGTTCTGTCTGTGCTTGAGGAACGCAGAGGTGAAGACAGAAGGCATTTTGTAACCTTGCCTTTGATGGCATCACGTGGCTTTGTGCTGGTGTTTGCCCTGGAACCAGTTTGGGCGATGGACGGTCTTTACTGGAGCGTCCAGTTCTTCCTTACATTTCCACAGTCGCTATAAAAGCTGCTGGTCAGGTTGGCTTCAGCAAGGTCTTCTCCATGTTGGGGCTTCTCCAGCGTGACAGTGAAATACGTCTTGGCTTAAGGGGTGTCTTTATGGTTTGGAAGCCCAGAAGGATGTCTGGCTTGACAAGATCAAGATGGGTAGACGTAGTGCTTAGACATATGGTCCAGTGATGGGTTCTGTCAGTGCTGGATTGATGGTTGGACTCGATGATCTGAAAGGTCCCTTCCAACCCAGGAAATTCTATGGTTCTTGGATCAGTTCTGCGTGGCAGAGGGCAGTGGGTGCCTCTAACGACTGCGCTGTGGATCAGTTCTGCAGGCAAAGGGCAGTGGGTGCCTCTAACGACTGCGCTGGGCAGGGCTGAAAAATTACTTCTTGCAACCTCAACTGTTGAGGACAGGAACTTTTTTTCTCTGTAGACAATATGATGTGGAGATAATATAATATATGCCCTAACCCACATGACACACGGTACCAGATAACAGGATGGACTCCACAGTACTCAGGGAATGACACTGCAGGTGGGACAGAGTTTCCCCGCAGCCCATCTCCAGGTAACTCTCCAGATGACCTGTGACCAGCATTTTTCTACCCCATGTTTGAGTTTTGCCTACTTTATTGAAGAATCGTCCTCCCCAGGTTGTGTATTTTTCCCATTGCATGATTTGTTGGGATGTCAGTCAATAATAGTAACCAAAAATGGGAACTTGATATAAATAAAAAAGTGAATATAAACATTTGAAGATAGTGAAAACCAGCCATTTTCATGGGGAAGACAGTGGGGGTTTTGTGTGAAACTCAAACAGGGAATCTTGAGTGCTTTTCCCATTTCTGCTGTAAACTAATTTCGTCATATTGGACCCAAGAGCTTCTCGTGAGGGGTTGGGACTCAAAGACCGTTGGATCTGAGATCAGATTATGGCATTTGTTCATCAACTTAGGAAAAGAATTTCCCTTAAATGATGAAAAAGTCCCAGCAGCCTTAAGGGTTTCTTTCCTAAATGCAGAGTAACGTTGGGTGGAGAAACCCCGCTAATCGTTCTTTAGCCTTAATTTGAGTCAAGCTGACCTGAAGAATTAAATCAACATGCATTAAGAATTCACAGAATCATAGAATCATAGAATTGCCCAGGCCGGAAGGGACCTACAAAGGCCATCTAGTCCGCCCCCCCCGCAGTCAGCAGGGACCCCCCCAACTAGACCAGGTTGCCCAGGGCCT